AAATAACCAAAAAAATTACATCATTATTAATAAAAAAATAATAATTAACCAAAAAAAATTATATATAAACTAAGCAAACGTGCATTGCAACCTAGTGTTAAAATAAAGAGTCTTAAAACTTATCAACAATAAATGAATACAAGCATATCCGACATCACCATGTGTGACCCCAAACTCTAAATTCTAATTCCAACATTATATAGCTGTATAAAGTAGTGGCAATACCCTGTAGTATTTAATCTAATTGTCTCTCACCCGACAAAATGGTCGTACATTAAACTCATACAATCATGTCCCAGGATTAGGCAAAGCATGCGTGGAGTGGGTGTGGAGGAATTTTCACTTGAGATCGCCCAACTTACAAATTTGTTTCGTGTTGATAACTCAACTTCAATTTCTTTCAATTTGATCTTCTAACTCATATTTTGGTATTCAATTTGACTATTCTATCTATTATATATCATGCTCACAACTACCATGTGAGTGGCGAATCCAGGATTTCATTTGAGTTAGGACAGATCCATCTAAATTAGAGTGAATGCCCAATATACGGGAAAAAAATTTCATGCAAAACCAGCACGGGTGCGTCGTCATGGCTCATCTGGTGCTGGCTTCGCCACTAACCATGTCAGAACTATCATCTTCATTGGCCAGATCATAAACTCCATTGGACAAGACACGAATTCTATTGGTCAACTCAAGAATTCCACATGGTAAGTAATTAATTTTGTTGGCCATGTCATGAATTCATGAGTTTAGGTAAATTTTAAAGACATAATAGTTAAACTGAAATAAAAATGTAAAGTGAGTAATTGAATTTAAACAAAAATATAATTAGATTAAATAAAATTAAAGTTCGATTACCAATACAAAGCTAACGTGTAAGTTAAGTGAGCTCTAGTAAAATTTTCCCGGTGGGAGTGAAGTGGGGACTGCTATAAATTGAACTCATGATTTGATTTGGAGATCAAAGTACATTAAATAATTAATTAATTAATTTGTATTATTATAACCATAAAAGCTATATGCATGAGATATACTCACGTGCTAAGCTAATAAAATATGAGATTATAATTAATTTCATTCAACTAATCCAACTTATTTGATTATAATTTAATAATATCACAATGCATTGGGAATGACTCAAAGTCTACTTTAAGCAACCTTTTTATGATAAAATAATTATTCAAATTTAAAAGTGTGTGATGTAATTATTTTGTTTGGGGGAAACTATGATTACGAGTCATTTACTCATTTTGACCTTTTGAATTTGAGATGGAACACTATTTGTTAAATTTTTTTTTCTTTCATCATAGACAAGATAATTGGATCGATAAGTGATTCTTAATAACTACCGAGGAAAATCACGATGCTTTAAATTTGACTGCTCCAAATCAGTCGATTTCAGTGTTAGTTTGAGACTTGATTCGAGATGCATATTTTGAAAGAGTCAAAAATCTCACTCCTATGTATTAATCGAAATCATATCCACGAGAAAGTTAGGGACAAGTACACAAGACATGCATAAACCATAAATTTGTTGAACAAACGCAACCTAGGTTCCCATCCACATTGATGCTGGAGTATAACCTTTCTTCAAGCTGCTAATCCCCTAGTGACACATCCGACGTTGTTCACTTTTCTACGATCTATAACTTGCCTAAACTTTCTTTTAAAGTAGATCAAATAATGAATCGATCGCAATGGAAAATATAATTAAAAACAAAACTTAATGTATGATTGGCAGGACTTTTGTTTTTGTTTCATGAGTAATTTACATTATGTCAGCTTTCTTTAAATGATCTTCTAACAAAACAAATGACTTACAGAAAATTATTTAAAAACATTCAAAAAATCCTTTTTAATCTCAAAAGTAGCTTTTGATTCTTTAAAAATTCTTCTAAACAGACCCTTAATTAGTCGATAGGAGCATAGGGGAGGGAGGAGGGGCTTGCCCCTATTTGATGGCTATTATTTTGAGAAAAATAGATTTTTGAATAGTGATTTCTTTAAAAAAAAAATGTGTTTAAAAATTAGGAAAAAATTTGGGTTGCCTGCAGAATAATTTATTGTGTAAATGTTTGGTTGAAAATGAGTATAAGAATTAAATAGTTTTGAAATAATGATTATCAAA